TCGCCTTCCATATGCTTCCGGCTGAGTATTTCACGTGAGGACCAGCCGCACAAAGTTTACGTAGAAGCGTTAGGCACCCCTCTTTCATTAAAATATGTCTTAAATACGGTGTGAGATCACACGTGATTACGAGGCGTTTCTCTTTGTGGTTTATTTTCGGATTCTTGGGGTTTATTCAGATTAGCGTTTATGCATGCTGATTAGTCATGCCGAAGAATGTCGGTTTTTGAAATATTGTTATGTTCTGTGATAGCTGCTGATAATAACGACTTCTACAAAGTGGTTCTTCCAAAGAGAAAACAAAAGATTAGCAAAGGAAAGTTAAAGAATAAAGCAGAAATTTCTCGCCGTTGATCAATCCCTAAAGAATGCGCCATGCATTCGACTTCATTGGGTATTGCTTAGCGATGGTTGAATGCATATCTGGCCTTTACAATAACTCGCGGTGGCCTACCAATGTATCGAGCCAGTGCTTCTATCCTTCCAGACAAGTCTGGTACCAATTTACCGACCCCGGAGGGATGTGATGGAAGACTTGGTGGGTCACTGGCGCGGGATCGATTCCATGTGTGTTTGCAGGGCGCCTCCGACCACTGTGTCACACGCGCACAGCAAACGGCAATTACTACTAACAATAACCGTCCTGTATAAAAGAGCACTGCTGAGTCAGGCTAATTCATTCGCTCGGCTTTCCACTGTACTGGAGTTGATGGGATCGCGAGGGCCCACATAGGAAGGTGGAACAACCCTAGGCAATAGATTCGGATCAGTTCCGCTCTAAAGATGGTGTGGGAGCCGAAACGTCAGCAAAATGAAGTTTTACATCAAGCTTGTATTAGCTTATCAACGAATAAAATATTCACCCTCTTTACAGTGTTTGTATATTTCACTATTTTTTATTCTATGTTATTATGTTTTCTATTTTTCTATATTATTCTATATATCACTATTTCATCTTTTTTATTTATTTTTTGTTTAACTGTGCATTTATTGCCTACTATTTTTTCGTGGTAGGGTAATGTGAAGTACAACTGCAATGATGCCAAAATGTTTGCAAACTGCGAAACCCCAGACCACCGTCAAACCCGCTACTACCTTCTCCGTGTTCTCCGGGGCTGCGGCTTCACTCTAACTGGGTTCAACGACGGCTTATATTTCCCAAGTTGTTTCCGTTGATGGATTATTGCTAATCGCACCGCTAAAACTGGAGAAAAAGGCAAAGCAGTTGCCTCGATGGTGCAGTAGGGTAAAAGGGCATTGACTGGTGAGTTCAAAACTCACCGTTTTATTCTTTATATGCCTTTCAGTTTTTGGTAAAGCCACCGCACAAACTCCTACATGTTGTGGAATATTCCTGGCTCAGCTGAAAAAATCAACTTGGGGAATGAGGCAAGGTCGGCGTTATAACAAAGTACTTCTTTCTGCGTCTCACTTTTGGATTTTTTGAATTCATCCGAAATATCCAAAATACCTCAATTGTTTTGTGCGCTGATGTTTTAGATTTCCGTGCACTTTTTGTGGCCTTTCTAAGTAATGTAACCCGGACGACACGAACTGATTTCATCCTGTACTTGGCTGTTTCTAGCCTTGCCTTTCAACTTTAGGCAATAACATGTCTCGCTTCATAATGTGCTAAGTGAAAAGGAATTGTGTAAAATCCGCTATTATCGATACATCCTTACCGGCAAGGTCCTCTTCTTGTCCTAGTCCAACGCAGTTTTTTTTATTTCCTATATGCATCGCTTTTTTTTAATGGAGGATAGTTTTTTTGAGCATAGAAGCGATCCACAAAACAAGAATTCGTCAGACATGACATGCTAGTGTCTCCGATTGAATAATGTGTGAGGTTTCATTCATGAAACTTTGCCGGATGGACCGCCTCGTTTTGTGTTTATTGCCGACTTGGCATTTACTCGAAAGTTTTTTTTTTCTTTTGTCGTTTCTTATTCATTCAGTAGTTCGTATTATCTTTGTGCTCTCATCTGCTTATTTTCCTTAATAGTCATTTCTTTAAAGGAAGAATCCTTTTCAGATGTGTATTACGGCTTGCAAGGTTGTTATTTGGTGTTCTTCTGAGATTTTCTTTTACTACGTTTGTATTTCATAGCTTTGAAGGTATCTTGTATAGATTAATAAACGGCTTGTCTTCTGTGTAGTATTGACTATGGTACTTCATTTCCATTTGGGTCGATTTGTTCCCAAGAGATTTACGGTAATGGAGTGAGAGGCGTTCTCAGTTCTACGTAATAGGCTGCTCGTATGGCTCCAAGAGGACTTTAGCCACCTGCCCACTAAGATTAGTCTGGTAAATCGGTGACGAAAAGCGAGTGAAAACCTTGCTCTTTGCCGTCTATTTCCTAAAAGAAAAGGAAGCCAGCCTTTTTCTCGGTGTGGAATGAGATCTGCCTACCAAGCAGTAGAATCTACGTTGGTCCAGTAGAGTTGCTCATTGAGCTTCGCTTGCTTAAAGGATACGAAGAACACCACATTTGGATGCAGCTGGGTTATTTTGCTTTTCTTCTTGCTAGAACGTAGTCGCTGACAGGTCATCACATTTTGCACTCTCTAGCTTTACTTTTAACTAGGCTTCAAATGGAAATGTCGTACTGCTTACGTTCGCGTAAATAAAACCGCTTTACATCGCGTTCTTCATCCATTAGAACTACTTTTTTAAGATCACCTGAAAAATATTTTTTGGTTGCCTTCGAAAATTTTTACTTTACCCAATTTTTCGATGACCCAACTTTATAATATGCGGATTTCAGCACTTTTTTTATTCCGTTAGTTTACTCGAATCCATCGTCCACAAAGATCTTTGGATTTGCGTTCGGATGCAGCTTGAGGGTTTTCTTTACGAATGATTTTGAATGCTGGGTTAAGTCTTCAATATCCAGCATCTCAGGCAGTTGCCAGCTTTCAGATTTTGAGGGATGTTCCCAAACAAGTCTGCTATCAACCTTGCTATCCCGATGGGATGGGAGGCTTAGTGAGCTCCATGCGTCGTCGAACGTGCCTTTGTCTCTATTATTGAGCGGCCTCTACCACTGCGCTACTCGTGGCTTACATTCATCAACAGCAACAATATATAAATTAGTGAATGATTAACGTTTAGGAGTCCAGAATGTTCGTTTCCGACATTTGGAGGCAACAAACTACTGATTTGTGTTGGCTAAGAGCACTCAGTTGTATAACACCTAAGTTAATCGTAAAGTGCTAATCATCCTACATTATTTCACTATCGCTACTATGAAGAATTCGCTATTATAAAAATAGCCCGAAGTCGTGAAATCGATAGGTTTTTTTCATGAACTTTGCATCACACCGGCTAGGACCTTTAGAGCGAGAGGACTATTGCGTCTAGAAATGGATTTTCCTGAAGTTTTTCTTCGGATTCCTCTAATTCATATTATAAAGGAGCGCGTTTCTCAAATTAGATCGCTTCGATTTGTTTTTTAGATTCGTGTTCAACTTGTGTTCAACTTTCAAGTGAGCAAGTTATTACTGGCTTACGAATGCGATGTATACTCTGTTGATCGGCTTTATTTTTAGCTGTTTTTATTCGAAGCCCTCACGAGGCGTCTTCTGAACGTCTTCTCTCCTATCACTTCTGATAACTCCTCGTACATATTTCATGGTCTTATCACCGTTTTATAGGACGCGTGTGGGGCAGTGGTTGGAGGCGCCACTGCGACACACACGTGGAATCGATACTCGCGCCCACTGCCCATCAAGCCTTCCTTCCCTCCAGGATCACAAAATTGGTACCAGACTTGTCTGAGAGGATAGCAGCACTAGCTCGATACATCGGTAGGCCACTGCGTCTAATTGTAAAAGCCAGATATGCATTCGATCCGATACTTAATGAAGTCGAATGCATGGCTCATCCTTCAGGAATTGATCAACGCCGAGAGCTTTATCCTTTTAGCTTTCGTCGCTGAAATCAAACCTGTTTTTTTAGTCCATAACTAAATCATTTTGAGCCAAGACTGACCCTTGTACCACTAATGATTCTGGTAAAACAGCTCCCAATTTAGGCGTCCAGCCAGCACTCTATCGCTTTCTTACGCTCCTCACTTTTCTGGAATTTCTTAGTCTCTAAAAGTCGAGTTGGTCGCTAGATGTCGAAGCACTCGTCTCATACATGAATTTGTTCATGTTTTTCTATTTTTTCGCATTGTTTTACATTTGCTTTCAGGTTGCGAATTTTTTGTAACATGCTTTTCCTTGAGGCTTTCACTTGTGTCTTTCGATCACGTTATCCTCATAATTTCATGACTTCCTCGTAACGACGTTTACAATCTTGCTCATTTCAACCAACGGTGGACTCTTGTAACGCAGTGAGCAGAGGTTCCTTGCGGTATACATTATTGTTGGTTCAATCCCCGAAATTGACGATGCACCCATCGTTCCGCGACCAGCAATTTGGTATCAAATCTGACTGGATGTGGTTAAAAGATTGTATTGATATATCACTACAAGTTGCTGCATAGACCAGATTTATATTCAATCACCTAGCCCGCACTTGATCGAATGCCTGCTGCCATCCTTGTGATGGATCAACGAAGACTCCATCGCTTGTTCACCCAGCAGTGGTGATAATTCATGAATAACATAGATTTCAGCGATATCCCATCAGGAGCTCGGCGATTAGTGGTTAAACTCTCCAACCACGAATATTAGGATTCTACCGATGCCTTCCGCTCAACATCCTTCCTTTCTTCCCCATACCCTTAGTTTCCTTTCTTTCCTTAGTGGAACTCACATTCGTTTATCGTTTTCCTCTTTCGTTTTTTTTCCATTTAGATCTTAAAATTGTCATATTTAAACTGCCTGAAGCTGCTTTTCCATCTCGTTTTCGTTTATTTTCCTCCTTTTATTATCGACTGTTTAGAAGGCGGATCAATGGTGCCAGTCCAAATTCGATCATTTGCTTAACTTCTCTTCTTTTTTTTGTGATAAAAATGGTTGAAAGGACCGTAAAAATGTTGTGTTGAGGTCGAATGACTGCCGACATCCGTTCACCGGACGTCGTCACAGCGCCATGTTTCCCGACAAATCCTGATATTCACAAACTTGGGCAAGGAAAGCAGGTGTTTCTTCTTCCCACTAAATCATTTCATCCAACAAATAACTTACTCCAACTCAAATTAATTTCTTTGGAAATAGAGTTCCTTTGGTCTTCAATTTTTTTTTGGAGCTTTTAAATCTTGGTTTAGCATTTTTACTGGTTATGGAGGTGTTCGGCTGGGTAGGTTGCGGTCAACTTGAACTCTCCAGGCTCTGAGGAAGAGAAATCCATCGAAACATCAGCTTGTTCATAAATAAAGGAATAAAATAACACCTCATGTTTGCTCAACGAGAATACAAAATAGATGTTCTTTGTTTTCATCTTTATTTTTTCGTATTATGTTATTGTCCGCGATCTCACAAATGTACATAGCAACTTGGATTTTTCATCACAGCTGCCTGCGTTCTTGTTGTCAGTTGGTCTTGTTAATGACTAAGGCATAACTCGTCCGTATGCGATAAAAATGATTATATTTCCACTTGTGGTGGTCAAGCTGAATACTCTATCGTCCTGAATATCATGGATTCGTAATGCGACAGTGATGATGTTCCATGAATATTGGAACTTTGAATTAATTCCGTCGGAAGTCGAAATGCTGGTCCAATTTTGTCATCTGCTCTGTAGCAAGCAATTCCGAAAATCGTGTTCTCTCTTTGTCTATATACCCCACTCTCGCACACGAAATACTCCGGCTATAGTCGTGTCATATCATCGTGGTAGTTTTGCGTTATCAGTCGTTACCGAGTTTTTCCAAGTTTTCCTTTTTGATTTTATCTTGTAGTAATTCCAACGACCGACTTTCCTCGGCATTGATCTAGTAGTTCTTTGCCTTCTTCTTGAAACGGAAGATGTAATTTTTAATTTTTATTGCTAATAAGCTGACGTATTGGGGGATGTCGCTAACTCAGACCCTAGAAATGTTAAGTTCACCGCAATCTATCCAGGCAAAACCAAACGTAAAAGTGTTTAACCAAGATTTCAATCACACCGAACACAAAATAGTTCCTTCGCACACTCACTGCTTTCTGTGAGTCGTCCATTGAATATGTCACGTGGATTCCAACCCCACAGAGTTGATATGGAAACGTATTGTACCCATCAACACAACAGGTTTAAATAGTGTCCAATAATAAGCGTAATTTTGAGGTATTCTCCACTGCGGTTCATTTTCGGACTCTTCGAATTAATCCAGAATTCGCGCGATAGTGTTAACCACAACTTCAAATTCTTCCCCGTTATGTCTCTGCGTCCTATGCGTGCCTAGTGGAGTGTTTGGTTTAAGTTTACCGATTAGGTGTTCTTTTATACGAATGCAGAGTGGTGAACCCGTTTCGCCAACGTATTCGCCCCGCACGCTTTACAAGAGGTCAGATAGACTACCCGAACACCGTCTCTACTGTTTGGGAAAATTATGCAATTTTGCGTTGGACATAGACGGTTATACAGGCGGTTGCGAAACCCTCCGAAACGTCAGCTTCATTATAATAAAAAAGTGTAATAACATCTCACGTTTGCTGAACAAAAATATGAAGATTTATTTGGTTTCATCTGTTCAGAACATAACCTTTTTTTACATTGTAATCGCTCGATTTCTAAAGACAGCACGCCATTCTATAAGTAGCTGCTGGATCTCTTTCTCCTAAAACAGTATTTCTGCGATCAGAGGCTGTAGAACACAATTTTCGAACAGACCACCTCGGTAACAAAGTAATCAACATGTGCTTAATTTTTTTTAGCTTACACAAGGTTGATAAAGGTGTTTATTCGGCTAACGTGTCGACGTATTCTTCTTCATAAGAGCCGACGATCCTTGTCAATGATCCACAGTTGTTCTTCTTCTCGATGTGGCGTCTTCATAGTTGTACCGAGACGAATCCTCTTCAGTGGAACAGCGCCCGAATGAGATACGCTCACTCTACGGTGCTCTTTTATACAAGGCGATTATTGTTTATACGACTATCCGTTGGTAAGGGTTTGTTTTTCAACGGCTAATCCACCCTGTTGCAGTCGGTACTGTGCAGTTAGCACACAGCGAATAACAAAGCGATTTTAAAACTGACCGTCATTTGACTTCGGTAGCAAAATATTATTTTGTATTGTATACAGACACACACACACACGCACACGTACACCTGCTGGTATTCGTAAACTGGCTTGATCACATGATTCTTCTTGATTTTGGTCCATTCTAGTGCATTTCATTCCAGTATTTAGGTAACGCTGAGTAGCAAGCAGGAAAAGTGAAACTTTACTGGATTTAGATAAGAATGCGAGGACTACTTTTTATACAAGTGATTTATAGCATGTCTTGGCACATGAGATCGGTCAGGGATCATTATGTCGCAAATGTGACTGTTCTGGACTCGATCTGCACTTCTGGAGGTGAGCTAATGCATCTGTGAGAGTAATGCTATTGAATTTAATGCATGACGACGCGAAAGAGTTCAATTAACCCCTTCTTAATTTGTGAAACCAGCTGGTTTTCTCTGCATCCATACAATCTTGGAGTGTTTGACAACCGAACTTCTCAATGTCACTAATGTTTGGACGTCATATTCGAAACGTCTGTTTTTCTTCTGGTGTTTCCAAGAAAATATTGCATTTAAAATCATCTCTAAATATCTGATTTTTATGGCCTCTTTAGCGTGGTGGTTAAATGTGCCCTGTTATATACACAGGACAGATCGAAGGATGAAACAAAGTCCCTTTTACAAGTTTGTTTTGTTTTGAACTTCATAAGTTCACTAGTTATCCAAAGATATCGGGAATGATTAGAAAACTAACACCCCTTATGTGGGGTGTACAAGATTCAAGAAAAGGAAAAGCGAGGAGAAACGACAGAGCAAGTGTCTCGGTTGGTGCAGTGGATAGCACGTGAGCCTCCGGAAAGGGTAATCGCGTGTTTGAAACTCACATGAAGCTCTGTGTTTTGTTCATATTTCAGCATCATTGTAGTTGTGTTTCACGTAATACTCTCCCATGAAAAAAGAATTTGCAGTAATGATATAATGCAATGTTTCTTCGATTGTTTTTGGTGTTCACTTTATAAGTCCTCTAATTGTTAACAATTTATCATTTATTTTCGAAAAAAAAACTAGCATCTTACGGATTGAAATCGAGGAGGAGTTTGCGGCTTTTTTTTGCCCATCGCAAAATCAATATTGGTCATGTATGTGTTAAGCAACGTAGGCGTAATTGAATGCATATGTAGTCTGCAGAATAAGTTCTGGCAGCCTACCGCTTTGTAATGTGTATTTACCCCCAGGGATTAACTTTAAATCAATTTCGGATCCCGAAGAGATGATTTACTTGCTCGGCACTCGGGATCGAATCAACGACCCGGTATGTGTTGCAGGGCATATCTAACCACTGAGCTACCCGTGTCGTATAATATTTATTCCATTAAGGAATCCTATTGTTGGAAAATGCAAATATCCTAATAAATGCATGCGAACTCGAGAACTATACAAGAACTCCTCCTGTCGTCCTTCATTCTGCGCTCCGACAAATTTTCTTACTCCCTTGATATTTTGCCTTGAGTTCCTTTTGTTTTGCTAAGCACGTCAGCCGAATTGGAACTAGTAGACCGATTTATGCGAATTTTGCTTCTGTTCGCCTTCAACTGGCGGATATTTGCCTTCAGAAAGTCATAACTTAGTTTTTAGGCAGCAAACTGGCGACTAGCTGAGACTTGTCAGAACTCGTATCTCTGTTCTTCCTTGTTGTTCAACATTTTCGCGACGATGCTGTTAGGCCCTTTAGAAATAAATGAGCTTCTATAACCATATTATTTAAAATGTTATAAATTTCTTTAGGCAAAGCTTTACCAAGGAAAATAGAAATCATTTGAATGTGGACATTTTTTGCCAACGAGAAACATGTTTATTTATTCCTGTCGCGTAAAATTCGGAAGTTCTGAATTCGATGAATTCGTTGAAGACAAAATATAAAGAAATGATTTGAAAGAGCGCAAAATCAGCTGTCTAATGGTATTTAATATTGCAAGGTGCAAGGAATATTTTATTGGTAGGAATACATTAAAACAATAAAAATTTTAAAGCGCTCTTATTTCTGAACAGTCTTATAGTTTTTTGACAACAGGTGATAATGCTTTCCATTAATGGTTGGATGCGCCATGCATTCGTCTTCATTAAGCATTGTTTGGAGGTGATTGAATGCATATCTGACTTGCGGTGGCCTACGATGTATCGAGCTAGTGCTGCTGCTATCCTCTCATGCACGTTTGGTACCAATTTTGTGATCCTGGAGGGGTGGAAGGCTTGGTGAGCCATGGGTGCTGGGATCGATCTCATGTGTATTGCAGGCCGGCTCCGATCATTGCGACACACGCATTCTTACTCCGAGGGTTTATGCGCACATATATATGTATATATAGACTTTTTTAAAAGATATTCTTTCAATTTCAAGCTTATGTAGAAAAAATTGTTGAAAATTTGAAAACGAAACTTGGTTTTTTAAATCTCCCACGCAACGTGGCAGCTGCATGATCAACCATGCATTGGAGAACACCACTGTGTTCTGCTGGGTGAAATAGCTCTTGTTTCGCTGCTCCCTTATTCAAAAAGTAGCTTTCGTGCGAAAAAATAGAGAGGAAAAGACCGTTTCGTGAGCTTCACAAAATCAGTTTTTCATTTTGGTTGAATAGCGAAACTCACACTTTGTGGGCAAGGATCTGTGGATTGAAATGGTTTTTACTCCAGTTAACAAAGTTCACTAGGGGCAGGTAGCAAGTGTTAGTGACGCGGATCATCACAAGCTCGATTCTGCTTCGAACGCGGTTCATCACAAGCTCGATTATTGTTCGACTACACTGCGGTCTTAGCAAGCCTGTTATCTCTCTGGGTTAAGGAAATCGGTACCGAACTTTTCTTGGAACCGTTTCCTTTTTGCAGTACAGCAGGGAATGCTTTAGCTCAGCTCTCTCATGACTCCACGGAGAATTGGCTCGAGCAGCATTAAACGACATTTATGACGAAATCAAAATTGACGAACAACCGTCGAAGCCACAAGAAAGATTTGGAGGATCTTCGTGGATGATAGAAAAAGGGAAACGAAGTGGGTGTAAGAATTGCAAGGATCCGCGTAATTGATATGAGAGACGGGTCCTTTAGAAGAAATAAAGTTCGCTATGAGCTGAAATGTTTTAGTTTGAAGTTGAAAGCGGAATCGTTTTTACATCTTGCGCATTAAAATCTATGCACATAGTGGCGATTGTGCTAAACGTATCGTTATAAAATGAAACATTCAGTTTGTTACGCCCTGTTCTGTTCAAACAATGACTGCCGACAATATTCATCGTGTGGAACACAATAACGTTCATGAGAAGTACCGATTGCGATCACCACTAGTACACAGCCGTTTCTCATAATTTTTTTGTTTGTTTGTTTTTGTTAGAAATATTTCATGAATATAACATTCACCAAAATGAACAGCACAAAGGTAGAGAAGCTTCTTTATCGCTTACATATATTAACCTTCTCCCTTAACACAGTTTTGCTGTGAGACCCAGGTGTACTTTTCGGCATAGAACCTTCGACAAGTAGAAAGTTCATGTGTCTCCTATTAGGTAGCTAACCACTGAAAGCTATTCTACATACCACAACCGTTCCTCATCAAGGATTTTTTTAAAAACGGTTCAGGAAATCATTTCGACCGATATTAATCCAATCTTTATTATTTTCGTGTTGTATGTGATTTGAATTTAGGAAACTATGCAAAAATTGTGGTTGTCGCATGGATGAACACGACGTGCAACTACCGAACCGTTCTGATCACGGTCAAATCATTATTGGTAAGCTTTCCATGCTTATCTAGAACGTTTGAGGAATGAATCATCACTTCTTTCAGAATAAGGCAGCTTCTTAATCTTCCAGTAACCAGAATTTTATCAGTCATTGTGTGGGGCCCACTACTTCGTAAATATATGAAATATTTCACATTCTCCGCTTCTCTTGTATTACCTCCAAATGTTCGTTTCTCTTGTAAACTTGTCTCTGTCTAATTGACTATTGGATCTCTTCCGTACTATTATTGAAAAACTCAGCCTATCACTTCATGTTCGATCCGTCTGTTAGTGCATTACTCTCAGGAATCGCTGCTATTGTTTGAGGATCCCATTCGCAAAGCATTGAATCGATCCACAAACTTAGAATTGCCTGTGGTGAGGGTATAGGAACGCTATAGCACGGGAATAGTCGTAGTCCCATGAAAACCACGGTGGAACAGTCAGTATTCATGCCGACGAGAAGGAAAAAGTGACAGCCGAAACAACAAGCAAGCACGACCACCTCCATGAATAACACAGTTGCGTAACAACGAATGGAATGGAAGAAATGATGAGCTTGTGCGTAATGTATAGACAGGTCATCTGCTGTTGAATGTAATCAAACACTCCTAAAATCTGCAACTACTCTGCTATCTATATGTTTTTCATTGTTATCTTATTCCACGTGGCGGTCTTTTTAATTGTTCAGAAAGTCGCATCCTGATTTATCAAAACGCTTTGGGTTTAAGCAACAGTGAAAAGTAATTTTCAAACCGACCGCCATTTAACCTCGGTACTGAAATAGTCAACATATATCTGAATTGTTGAGCTTACACGAGGCTGATAAATAGATTTATTTCGGCTAACGTTTCGACGTCTTCATCTTCATCAGAACCGATAATCCGCGTCGATGGTCCACAGTTGTTCGTTATCTCGAGGTGGTCTCTTCGTTGTCGTACCGAAACAGGATCTTCTTTAGTGAACACCCCGCGAATGAGAGCGGAGACGTCGAAACATTTCCCGAAATAAATACGTTTATCAACCTCGTGTAAGGTGTAAGCTGTAACATAGTGAAAAATAAGTTTATCGCATAAGCCAGAGTTCTAAGTTAAACTTCAGTCAGTTTAAAGAAATTGAAACCTTCATTCTGTTCTTTTCATTATTTTCTGGAATATACGAAACCTTTTGCGATAAAGCCACTTATTTTCATGTGTGAGCTGAATGAATTTCTTAGTAAATATTTATGTAAGCCTTGTTGACTTGTTTATACAGCCTGTTTTCATGCGAACGTAGAGTTTAGTAAATTACCCATTTGAGCAGTATTTTGCCGTTTAATCGGTTTTTTTAACCTATGAAGTCTCATGGTAGTCATACAGGATGTTAAGTGTGTCAGTAAATATAGTCGCCAACTGTTGTGAATTAGAGAAGGTTTCTGCTAAGTCGACGGTGGTTCCCAGTGGCATTGATTTGGTCTTTTTTCTCAGTTGAGCTTGAGGATGGAAGTGTCGCCTTGGTTATAATGGATGACTATGCGCGTAGCAAACTGTCTGTAAGATTTTCGACGTCCAGAAATATCTTCCTATCGTGCTGGGTGGTAAATTATCAAGTGGACAACAAGATGTTTTAAACTGCATGTTCGCAACATTCGCAATCTTTGCTTAAATCATCTGTATCTAACAGCGGTTCTTCATCTGTTGTCATTCCTACGTGTTCGTACCAGCTTATCTTTAACAATTTAGAGTGTGAAGCGACGTCTTTGATTTTTGGTCGCTGATGTGAATCGGAGCTTCGGATCCCCCTTCTCACATGCGTGGTGCGGGATACTCCTGCCATCGTCTTTTCGACTGTGTGCTCCATAGCATTGCTTTCTTATATATTCTATATTTTCAGTAATTTTACCATTCGAACAGGAGCGCATAACGCAAACTAGTGACGGATCAGTATGCAGAAGACGCCGACCCACTCAGGACTTTTTTCCACTCCTTCCCGTCACCATAAACTTTCCATCTATCAAGATCGGCAAATTGGTACCAGATTCGTCTAGGATAAGCTCACTTCTTCTTATCCACGTGGTAATGCCCTCGAACGGCTATCCCAGGATTCCAGGGAAAACCAACTCGACCAATACTCAACGTTCTACGGCGTTCATGAAGAAGACGAACACCGTCAAGTATGAACCGTGCCCACACGTAAAATGTTCGAAGGCCTTCATGAGTGGTGGATGCGATGAAACGAATCGTATACGAAAAGTGTTAGGATCCGCGCAATGTGATACGTAATCTTGGATTGTATGAAAATAGGTGACTCATCTGGATTGAAGATTTTGGAATCTCCAAAAACTTCGCGCTTTCCTTGGCTCTTGCACGCAAATCGAAAACTCTCATCAGCGAGTGAAGTAAGACTTCTTGTACTTCTGTAATATGTATGAATGCCGAAGTGACGCAATGCCGTTGGCATTTCTCTTTTAATGAGAAACCAACCATTATTCATGCATTCGCAGCCATCAGTGGTTTACATGGCGTAATAACCACCTGATGGTTCTTTCTTAACTCTAAGTGAATATCTCATGTACTAAAGAAAACTCGAAGGCGAAGTGGTGGCTATAGCTAAAAGGCAAAAGGGTTAAATTTTCGGTATTTCGGCGTTGATCAGTCCATGCAGAGGAGAACGGCTATACATTCCACTCTGATCCTTGAAGTGACCGCGTGCATGTTTCTCTTAGTCAATAATTTGCGTTGGCCTACCTACTATCATGTGAGTGGTTTTCTATTTTCGCAGAGAAATCTGCCACCAATCTCTCGTTCCTGAAATATTAGAAGAGTTCTTTAGCGTGCGGTCATTATTAAACCAATGATTACCTGTCTTTTTCCGGGCATCGCTAACCACTGCACCACACGCGTCCTGCATTAACAAGTAGAGGAAGAAAGTGTATGACAAACCATTAAAACACCATAAAAAATGATAATTATAGGACGATTGTTCCATGCAAAAGATCATTTCGAGACCAAGCTAGCTGAATCGCTTAAACTTCCGGCTATCGGTGAACAGTCGTCGTTGCACAGCTCAACTTCTTCCGACTCATCATCGCATAAAGTCGGCCCACATCGGAGAACGTCGTTTGTCGAGGTGAATGTAGACATAGTGGTGTATATGTTAAATGCTTAAATGAGGTGAATGTAGAAATAGTAGCTTATGTGCTTAATAGATATATTATAGTCTTCAGACTTCTTGTTCAACAATTTTGGAAGCTATTTTTACTTTGTTTTATTTTCCGCGCCATGCAATACCAAAGGATGGAGAGAAAAGTGGAGATCGTTAGAACGGAGTGTAGAGGGATGTATGGCTTTTTCTCTTCACTAGTCAATAACTATCTTAAAGAATGATGGATAAATGCCAGAATATAATGAGTAAATCAGTCATTCAAAAAATCGTTAGAGAATTGTGTATTTATTTGGTTGGAAATATCCGAAAACAGAATAATTTAGTACGATTTGATAAAAGAAGTAAAGAACTATGAAAGTGACTTAAAAAGTCGTTTCCCTCAATCTCAGAATCAAGTAGAGAGCTGGAAAAGGATAACAAGTTGAAGAAACCACATGAAGAAATGTCAATAGAGATGAATAATATGAAGTTATGCTCAACCACGAACTGTTTTTCACCATAGCGTCAACGAATGTTTGCTGTTCGGTCATTATTCACACCTCCGTCCACCGCCTTGTAAGAGAACGAGAACAAGTGGCACAGTACCTTGCAACTACTCTAGCAATGCCATTTTCATTCCACTTTAATTTGATATCAAAGATATTTCTTCGCTCAAAGGTAGACGAAATTCCACATTTTTAGTCTTTTTTAAAACCTATTCCCATGAACAATAAGGCGTTCGGCTTTGATCCGCCATACAGTCGATTCTATTCGTAGCAGTGTAGAGGTGACTGAGTGCATATGTGGCCTATAAATCGACTTCCAAAACCCAAATGATGTATCAAGCAAGCGTTTTTGCTTTTTTGCCAACTGACCTACACCGATGGAGTGCTGGAAGTGGTTAGTTTAGGCGTGAGATAGAATTGATGATCACATGCCTCACAGGACACTTCTAAATACTGCGCTACACTCGCCCCATCTATTCGTCTACTCTGATAATTAAAACCTGCCGACTTTCACCGGTCGTAGCATGGTGTGGAATAGTAGCAAAATAGAATCAATCAATTCAGACATTATAGTGAGAACTTTTATTCAAATACGAGGTCGCCTAAAACAGATCGGAACTGGATCAATAAAATTAATATGGAGTAAAGCTTATGTTTTCCTCTACATTCAATACTTCTAAATTACAATTTAGTCGATTAGAAATGACTTATAAACGGCGTTTTTTCTCCATAATAGCTCACATAAACATCTTCAACCGGAAGTAGGAGATTTCTTCTGGGAATAATAATCTATTTTTTAAAGTGCTAAATTGACCAGAGTTACTAGAGAAACTGTATTAATAATAAATGCATTGCACTTAAATCCTATTCATGATATTCATTTCAGTTTATTTTCCAGGATCGAACACTTCCGACGGCTGCTTATAATTTTAAGTTGGAGAACGATAAAGGCACCAACAAGGTAAATTACAATGCGGTTGTAGTAGAAGAATTTAGGTTCAGCTTAAGGAAAAACGCTTGGAGAATAGTTTATTTTATTTAAAGGGTTTTTAAAACGTGCACTTAGTAAGCGATTTCTCTTTCAGGAAGAGATATTTATAACTTTATTTTCTTTATTTGGTTAGTTTAAATATCAGTGAAACGGAAAAAATCGTTAGTTAAAAGACCGACCGTAGCAAATCTTCGTTAGCTATATTTCCCTGCAGCCTTATGAAACAAATTGCGGGCTACACGATTCACATGTGACTCGTAAATGTACGCCGTCGCATTGTGAACATTGTTAAATAAAATATAACCTTCGAAATCTAAATACTTTTTATTATCGGGACTCATTTCGAAAAAAAAATGAAGCGATTGAAGTACAACTGGGATTTCGTTTAACTTGTCACAACAACGTTTGTGAATAAATCATTGGTGATTACCGATGTCATGCTTACGTCCTCCGAACTTCTAAAATTTTTGAGTCTTTTGAGTCATTTGTAAATTTGTGTTCTAAATATTTTTATAATAAAGGTTGCATTGTAGGGTTTTCTAGACGCATTCAAGAACATTATTGCGTTTAATTTGGGAGAGTACTTACTTGGATACTTAGATAGCCCGTCGTCATTGAATGTGCGTGCCCCAGCATAGTCTCTATTTTTGAGGAGTTTTACTGGTCTATCCATTGTGGTTCTCTGGTGTCGCGAGGCTAAGCAGACCAAAGTCTGCCTCAGGTCGTGACCACCACAGACTGTCGCAGCCCTTGTGGATCAGGGGGAGATTTGCCACCATGCGACTAATTGGGTACTACGAAGGTGACGAATCTTGATATTGGTTTGTTCTTAGTTGGGCTTCTTCATGGAAACGCCGGACTTCTTCTCACCCTGAGAGACTCTACCAGGGGGTGGATTGCCCTACTGTACTTGGCAGACCGACATCCAGGAACACCTCCCAGCTTACGCTGAGGTGGTAAACCGTAGGGAGGTTTGGGAGAATAAGTGAGCGCAAACCTTTATCTCTCTAGATGATAATGATTTTTATTTCATTTATGGTAGTTAACTACGAGTTAAGATATTACTTATCATCAAAGATCTAAACAGTTATGTTTTATTAATATCTGAATAACCAACTTTTATTAGCCTTAATAATGATTCTCAGTAGTTCTCTACATTATTGAGCTAACATGAGGTTGGCATAAACTTTTATTTCGCTGACGCTTCAAAACCTTCGCCTTCTTCAGAGCCACATTGGTCCAAGTCGATGGTTCACAGCTGGCCTTTGTCGCGATCTGGGAGTTTGTTGTCGCGTCGAGTTGAATTCGGTGAAGTGAGCACCACTGGAATGGGGAACTTCAATTAGCGGTGTCTTTTGAATTAGATCGCGGTCGATTCCCACCATCCAATGTGAACTGCGTCTTGACGGGCACTATGTGCTCTTGCAGTTCGGTACTTCATTAGCTGGCATGTAGTCTATCCACTACTAGTTGCACGAGACCCAGTCCACGTGATTCGACTCGAACTGGCTATGGGCGCCAGTGGATCATCGATTCGAATCAATGAGGCTCTGAGGAATGAGTAGGCGCAGAGACGTTAGTCGAATAAAAGTTTGTATCAACCTCGTGTCGGCTCTACTATCTAAAAAGCTAATTCTGTTCTCATGTCTCTTCCTTTTTGTTTTTATTTTAATCAGTCAAATTCTTAGGCTTCTGTCAATCCTTTAACCATGTATTCTTTCTTTCTAATTTGACATATAGTTCTATTCAGACAGTAACCGAGTACAGCTGGGTTCCGGTGCCGGATAAATCGCTAGTCGAACGCTACATGCAGGCGCTTCCCGAACACGAACGCCCAATTGTCGGCTCAATTGGTGAACAAAATCGCAAATCTCGACTACAATATCAGGTATGTTTCTCATTTTTGGTCGTCTTTAAGATCTCGTTTTTTCAGCCATTTGAATTCTTAACGCTATCTTTCTGATTAATTCGTTACAAATTCGGCATGCAATCATCTCCAATCATAATGTCAAAGAAGGAACTGAATGCATATTCGACCTATACAGTCGATTTGTTGCGACCAATTGACGTTTAAGCACACTGTCCCTTTGTCCTCCCAAACTAGCCTAGAGCCTATTTGCCGATTCTGAAAGTATGGAGGTCTTGGATAGCCGGGACATAGAATCGAATCCACTACCACTTATGTGTTGCGGTAGACCTCTATCCTCTGCTCCATAGATTTCGCACTGAAAATTATTACAATATTTTTACGGCGAAAAACATGCAAACAATGAATAATAATAAACATAAATACAGTACAAATATTAATTTTGAAACACAAGTACCTGGACTGCTTAACGAAATATAAATATTAGTTCAAGTTGTATTGGACAAATAGCTGATTCTATCAATGAGTAGTGCTTATCCAAGGCGCCAAGACATTTTCAATTCGGATTTCCTTTAATGAATCGCTTTGCATCGGTGTCATCTACCTCCATCGTTGCAGCATCCTTGCTGACGTGCACGTAACTCCCATTTCAATGCTGATCAACTTAATTTTTTTCCATAAAAATATAAGTTTCCGATAAAATGTTGGTAGACGCTTTCGTTTTTTTTTTCTTTTTTTTTTTCCGCTTTCGAACTTTCGTTTAAATGATTTCTTTCACTGAAGAGCGTATTCCCGATTGCATTTCTGGGAAATTGGTTTTTTTAAACTTCCACTACTGCGTTTTAGCACTGAAAAAGAAGAAGCAACCAGGAAAGAACAAGTAGAAGTGATTGTTACCTTCTCATTTACAACTAGGAGGCCCGGCGTTAAACTATGCATACCTCATTTAGTGTCACGAAGAACTATGATTTCTTAAAGTGTCTTCTAACATTTCCTAACCTCGAATTAGGAACTTTAGATTTCTACGGTAAGAAGATTTTCAATATCGTTACTTAACAGAATCATTTTTTCAGTTACCACTCTATGATTGCAACGTTGAAGATGCCAGATTCGCCGTTGAGAAGGATAAGGAGGTGCTACGCCGATTTGTGGAGAATGTTCGCAAGCATGTGCGTTCTGAGCTTATTCGATGCATCTTACTGACTATCCATTTCGCGTTGCTCTCTCCTCTACGTTCCTAGTGTAGACTGAAATGTTAAGGCGAAAGAGGAGCAACAGTTCAGCGCTGAACTTAACTTGTAATCGACAGTTGTTTCTACTTTTACAGCAATTATTTATGCCTATCCAGCTACGAAGATCAAATTTAGAAAAACCTTTCATTTTAGGTGATAGGAGTCGGTCAAGTGAAGGAAGTGACATCGAGAAGAGGTGCTCCTCGATCGGAAACCGGTGAACTCGATGATCTTACACATGATATCGACGAAATCTCTTTAGGAACTGTGGTGAGCTTAAAGCCCTTATTTTAGAACGATGCAATGATCCGTTTTATCTGCACACTTTAAATATTTACTCAGTTTCATCGAGTTTATCAGAAACTAAGGCGATGTAAAAAATTCTTGCTAGATTCACAAGTTTCTTGAAATCTGTGCATTCTTCATTATCATGAAACGCTATCAAATGTCCTTCATTGTCCATATGAAGAAATTCTTTTAGAAGTGCAAATCATGTGCGGCCACGATTCCAGTTGGTGACGTTGGTATCAAAACGGATCACGGATCGAAGAGCGTGAGTTTGTTAACCACTGCATTTAAACACATGCACAACGATATGAGCCACATATGACTCACACAAGTCGAACTGGGGTACGTGAGCCGATGCGAGTTATGTATGAGTCTTTTTTCGGTTCTTCCTGCCATTGGTGTTTAAGTGCCTTTTGCGATTTCTATCTGCGGTTTATTTTTAGATTTTTGGAATTTACTCAGAATGCTTTGAGAGTTCTGCGATGTTTCCGATTCCTACACCGGGATAGTCGATTGTAATTCAAAGTTCTCTTTATGATGTCTCTTCGTCCAGTTCGTGCCTTGTGGAACATTTTTAACTTAGCGAAATACAACCACAATGTTGCTGAGATATTTGCAAAACTCTGGACCGCAGGTGTCTATGGTGGGGAACGAACGTGCTATTATCCTTTCCGGGGAGTAACGCGTTCGCCACCACACCATGCGGGTCCTTTGTTTCGCACGTCTCTCAGCTATTTCTATCGATCTTTTTGCCACAGCAATCACCCGTGGTGAACGCGTTACTCCCCGGAAAGGATAATAGCGCGTTCGTTCCCCACCATAGACACCTGCGGTCCAGAGTTTTGCAAATATCTCAGCAACGTTGTGGTTGTATTTCGCTTAGTAACCTGTCATGAAAATTATAGAAGGCAGAAAACAAAACGTTAAACATTTTTAACTTAATTTCTATGTGTTCCTTTATGCGCATACATAGTGGTCTACCCCTTTAGCCAATGTGCTCGTCTCTGTACTCTTTACTGGAGATCGGATAGACCATATCCGAACTTAGGCAATCACCGTCTCTACCGTTACAGAATATTATGCAATTGTGCTTTTCGCTTAGACGGGCATGTAAACGATTACGAACAAGCTGGCGTCTTAGAATCTTCGGCGATAATTCACGCACTGGTACCGATTTCTGTGGATCCGCCGTTTTCAAGCCGTTTTATAGCTTGGCTTATTTCGTTGCAAATCACGGGCAGAGCAAGCTTGTTTTCACTAGAGATATCGTTTGAGGGCGTGGTTCTTTCTCCAAACATATTACGAGGATCTAACGTTTCATATCCATTGGAAATGGCTGTTTGCCGTGCCTATTCCGGGCTTATTTCTTCTTAGAGACAGAATTCTCTCTTCTGGTCTCTTCCTATGCACACACTGGTGGCCGTTCGAAGCATGTTTCTCATAAGGACCATTTTTGTCAGTGCAGAGAGGAGAGGTGATGAACCAATTTGCTTTTGCTACTTGGCTTTCTTCACCGTTTGGTGATGTAACTATTGTTGGGTAGGTTAATTTAAGCGTCCAACAATGGAAGCCAGTTTCTTCTGAGTAGATTTAATGTTCACTAATTGTTCATTCAATAACTGAAAACGTTTGTCCTTCTCCTTAACTTTGGAAAAGATAAAAATAATCCGCTATCTATCTAGACTACAGTAGCGGCTGAGGTCGATCGCTGGAGCTTCTTGATTAGACATAAAGTCTTTGGCAAGGTTTAGCAAGAGTCCTAAAATTAATCAGTCTCTAGATAGCACGCGAGTATTTTTGCACAAATGACAGAGTTGGCAGTGAGACAGCAACTGATATCAAACCGCCAATTTTTCTTTCCGGTGGGGAGAATGGTGTCAGAAGTGCTTTAGCCAATATGTGTTTTGTTATTGTAGACGTGTTAATATTGAAATCCTGAGACCAAATATGAATAAGCAAATCTGCTTTTGCAGCTGAAACGCGTTTGGCATAACATGTAATGGTTTAATCAAATGCAATATGTTAGGAATCTGTATCCGGGAATTACCTGGATTTCTTGATGCACTTTCTTCAGAAGGCATAAGAAATTAATCATGCAGGCAACAGTAAGATTATTTAACTGGTAATTTGTGGTTTTCTTCCCGTGAGTCTCAATAGCCGTGCTGGGGCCTCGTCAGAGCGCCGTCATTTTCCTGTTTGTGATTCATTGCCGGGAAAGCAATAACTCCTAACCTCGCTAACTCCTGTTTATGCTTCCGATTGGAAACTAAAAGCTGTTTTCCTGGTTGGTGGTTGCTGGTAGGTGAAGTTTCCATTGTACATAGAATTCGATAACAAAAGAAATGTGGTGACACGATCAGGTAGTGAACCACTAGCAGTTGCTGGACATTAGAAGAAAAAGCCCTTAAGGCTCCATGTACGCCAGGAAAGATTTATTACCACCAAAACTGATTATTTGCGATTTTTATACTGGTAACTATTTACAGCTTTAAATATTTTAGTATTGTGATGGTTTTACTACTTAAATTTAGCACTCTTTCTAGGAAATGTGGCATCCGAACTGTTTCCGATGTGCTCAATGCAATCAGCTTCTGGTTGACATGCTTTATTTTCACTTTCAAGGTTAAAAGACTGTTTTCACTGTGATAGCCGAAGTCGTTCAACTAACTTTAACAATAGCTATTTCCGCTGAGAAGAACTGATTAGTTTTATTTTCAGTGGCAGCGTACTCTTTTTTTATTAATTTGCCGTTTAGGTAAGTATTATTGTGGACGACATTTTGCTGATCAGCAATATCCGAGATGTGCGGGGTGTGATGAGGTAATGCAGTAAATTCCTCCTTCTTTTTATTTTTTGATTATTTTTTCATCCGCTTATCGTTTGGATCATTTCCGTTGTCACACTTAGCGCTTATGTCGTCTCTAAGTAGATTAACTGACAAATTCCTGCTAAATGTATTCTTAAATAAGTTCCTCTTCTCAAAATTTTTCACGAAGTATGTAATTGAAACTTTCAATAACTTCTAAGGATGAGATGGTAAAAAAAGGATAAAGCTGTCGCCATTGCTCGATCCCTGAGGGATGCACCATGTATTGGATTTCATTAAGCATCATTGATTTAAAGCATATTAACGCTTATCTGGCCTTTGCAATGACTCGCAATGGCCTACTGATGTACCCAGTCAGTTCTACTATCCTCCCAGACCAGTTCGGTATCAAGTTGCCGATCTCGAAGGGATGGAAGGCTTAGTGAGCCTGGGGCACGGAACCGTCCTCATGTGTATTGCAGAACGCCTCCGACCGCTGGACTAGACGTGACTCTTGAGATGAGATTATACGTGGTAAAATTTTGTAATAAACGATAACAATATAGACATCGGCTCCAGGAACGCTTTGCTTGGACTATGGAGAGCCGTTGAAAAGGTTGATAAATGAAAGAATGAATGAATGAATGAGGAATTAACCACAATGATGCTGAGATATTTGCAAACTCCGGACCGCAAGTGTTTGCGGTGAGGAACGAATGCGCTATTGACCTTTCCGGAGAGTAACGCGTTCACTACCACATCATGTGGGTCGGATCCTTCGTTTCGTATGTCTCCCAGCTAGTTCTATCTTGGCCTGCGGTCAGGAGTTTTGCAAATACCTCAACATCATTGTGGTTGTTTCACAAATAATACTCTGCCGTGAAAACTTGTAAAAGGCAGTGAACATAATGAGGAAATATTCAAAAATGGCTCAAAAGTTCCAAGATTGCACGTTTTTGAAGGCAAATGAAAATTCCTAGTGGTAAAAGTTGGGAGTACAAACGTAACACTAACGACGATAACAACTTTGGAGCGAAATCCGTCACATAAACGTTCCTCCTCACGTGCTATAACGGCTGGGGATTCCTTTACCGCTAAATTAAGTTTCTTTCCTTCAGAAATTAAGAAAAGGACCATTTAGGCAGTTTAGTACTTAGTATTGGTAACCATTGGCAATCGGAAAAGACAGCGTTTTTGTTTCAAAAACCTCTGAAACGTTTCTTTTAGAACCAAAAAAGATTTGGTGACTTTTTTTTAAAGAGAGAAGTTCTTTTTCTTCTTCGTAGAGTATTAAAACAGCCATTCGATGCCATCCTCAAGATGTCATTAAGAAGAAACCAATGTGTGTGTGTGTGTGTGTGTGAGGAATTCATTTCTCTACTTAATGAGTTTGTGACGGAGTTTTGCCCGAGTGTGAGCCTGAATGGTTTTCTCTAGACTATTTCCGCATCAACGAAAATGACAATTACCGCCACATCTCCATTGTTGTCATACTTGCCGAAAAGAATATTATCGCACACGGTCTTTAATTTTTCTTAAAATTCCAAAAAAAAAACAAGCGGCGTACTCTTCTGCTTCATGGGGAGAGTTAAAAGTAAAGGAGAAAGCGTACAAAGTTGATCACATCTTGAGCGGCGCCCTATGCATTCGTCTTCACCAAGCATCGTAAGCCTGGATTGAAAGCCTATCTGGTCTAACAGTGATTTTCGCTAATCTATTTATGTATCAAATCAATACCGCTATAATATAAAACAACTTTGGAGCCTTTTACCGATTTCAGTCTGATAATAGGCGAATTAAGCGCCTTGTGCACGATCGAACCAGTGACCATAAGCATTGCATGGGTTCCTCTAGCCACTGTGTTACAAGCGAGTTAAATAAATTAGAAGTGAACTATGACTACAATTAACTTCTTTTCGACAGAGTACCTCTTTTTATAGCTGATCTTCGCTCGCGAATACACATTTGCTGAGGAGAAATCGTGGCACTTTGATCATTTTGCGTGCTTCAAGTGCGATTTTCGACTCGGTGGTCACCGTTACATGACGAAGAACGATCAACCGCATTGTATCGACTGCTACATGAAGTACTTCGCCAGGGTTAGCGTCGAGCCGTTTTCATAAACTAACAGTTTCGCACTTATGAGGTTTTGTGATGTCTGTTATGTCTTCAAATGTTTCACCATTATATATCAGACGCTTCAGATTTTACGATACTTCTCTTGTTATACTGTTTTTGTCGATCTCATGACATTAACATTTTCTAAAAAAAACAAGAATCTGTCTCAGTTGTCTATGTAGACATTTTTTAGAGCTGTGACACATGTGGAGAGAAAATTGGAGCTGACGAAAAGCGTCTGAACTATCAGGACTATCACTGGCATGCCAAGAGGGAATGCTTCCAGTAAGTTCGGTACTACTTTTGAAATCAATATTTTTTCTAAGTGGCTTATTAAAAACGGATGCTTATCCTTTATAAGATGGTTTAGAAGCACAGACACTTTTTGGCTCAAGAGATTTAAAATATACGAAAATCCATTGTCATTCTGCGAAATAGCTCTTGATGTCCTTACTTCAATCTGGTTAGATATTTTAAATAATACTGGATATTAGTCCAACTAAAAGGCTGTTAGAGTTTATTTAAGCCTCTCCCGCCACTCTGTGGTCGGTGATTTGGTAGAAGGGTTGATTATCCTTTCGGTCGGCGGAAATCATTGTATCACTGACTTTAGGTGTACGACTAGAGTGGATTTCAGTAGAACTCTATGTACTTTATTCATCACTTACTCGGTTATTTTTCAGTTGTCGTCAATGTGATATGGATTTGATCGGAAAGAAATTCTTATTCAAAGATCGTAATCTGTTTTGTTCATCACAGTGTAAAGCGGCGTATCGCAACAAATTATTATAGTGATTAAATTTTAGACAGTACCTTTATCGATATGTCGTTCCTAGTACTAAGTTCACAATGATTTCTTTTATGGATTCACAACCACGTTTATTCCTAAGCGATTTGTTGTTGTTGTTGTTTTTTTTTGTTGTTTATATGGAACACTTTTTTCTATCCGCTTCCATTTCTTCTAATTTTGTGTTATTTTTCATTATTTTCGCATTTACTGGCAAATTCGTGCGGGATCGTACAAACGAAATTGTGATGCAAATTGCTTTATGCTGTAGTATTATGAAGGAAAAAAACTGACAAGGTTTAACATTGAACACTTCGTCGAAAGTAAGACATTGATAATCTCCTAATACCACGTACAGTATGATATGACTACAGTAAAGTGAAGAGAATTGTGGACCTGTCAATACCGTAATGTCGTCTTGCTGTGAAAACTGGTAAGATGTATTAAGAAAAAGTCCTTAATTACAGCATAACCGCATTACAGCAATCTTAAAACAAACTACTGGAAAAAGAATACCATGGACTACATTGGTCTTTCGCTTGGAATTCTTGACTTCTCCGCTCTTATATCCACAATTTACCGAATATTCATTGCCTATTCCAGTATATAAACGAGTATGAGATATTGTCAGTGTTAGGATGGTCGTAATTATTAGTAGAAAAAGTAAAAACTACTTCACAGATTAGTTAAGTCTGCTTTAAGAAAGAACTGTTCAACGGTTAGTAATCCATGTAATAGTTGTGTATCAGGCTTCCATGTTCAAATTTCACGATGCAGCTTCAAAAGTGAATGAAAAAGGGCGACGAGGAGCAAACAACTACGAGAAAAGACTAGGTACGTAGCCAGTAAAGACTACATGTAGATGGACCACCGCTTCTGGTGGATAAATAGAAATATGCTGTGACTTTGTGATGAATGAACAAAATAAAAACGAGGAAACAAAGAGAAAAAACACAGAAAAAGGTTAGATGCTTTCATTTGGATCATCTTCGCAATTTTTCAGTGCTTCATCAAGAAATCCTGCAAAATTAGGATAAAAGTCTCTGAAAAATATCAAATCACAAGTCGGCAAAGTTAGTGCTATGCACACTCTGTTAGCTTAGCAAGTTACTTCTGAAATGGAATTTTCTCTGGCGTTTAAGAGAAGTTGTCGTACCTCGTTTCATCTCCCTTATAATTAAACTCATCAGCTTGTTCCATCCGATAGCGGCTATGTTAGTCTTTCCAGAACTTGGATTTTTCCAAGAGTCGAGATTTGCCTAAAATCAGTATGCTACACTCTAATTCTTCTTTTATCGACCTATGGTTCATTAAGAACTCTGAGCTGAACAAGTGTTCCCTCCAACATCAGGGGATTGGGAAAAAATGGGTACTGTATTGAATGGGGAAAATAAAAACGGCTTCTTGATGCATCATTACGCAACCGTAATTCGCTCTATAAGCCAAATATGGATCTAATGATCACTGCGATAATTCAACTGTATCAACACTGATCTATACCGAAAACTTAGTGTTATCAATCTTTAAGACGTAAAACGTATCCATACTCGACAACTTGGTCTGCCGAATAAACTTTTTTGCATGCAGACGCGACATGCTGCCTACTTTTCGATCATTGCGCGTTTAAATCGATTTGAACGACTTGCTTTATTTCATTTGACTTACTCCTGGAGTGTCACAGAAACGAATGATCCAAGAACTCCCTCCACTTCTTGGTACATTTTTGTCAAATGTCCCTCTTTTCGTATTCAGAGTCAAGATGAAAGTGAGTAAAGTGTTTTATGAAGTGAAACAAAAAACGTTCACGTACTTCGAACTTTTCTTGCTCTTTAGGAGATCCATTCACTGTAGTTGGCCTTTTCTGTACAGCAAGCACTTGTTCAATAGTGACCTTCTTAAACACGAGCCAGTTATCGGCACCAAAATTCACTCCTCTGAAATGGTAAAAAAAATCACCTGCGTTTATATGATTGACACTTGAAAACTCCTCCGTAAAAGAAAAAGCTTAGTAAACTCACCTGTGGTAATGGATTTGGCCTATTCGATATGCCATATGGTGTATAGTGGCATCCGGACAAAATCCTAACGTTGAAACGATTGTGTCCAGAAAATTTTGAATGCGTCGAGCCTAGAGTAAAACATAAATCGATTCATTATAATCCCTTAGAGCAAGTGATTTTTAGGTTTTTTTTTTCAAGTGAATGATCCACCATAAATAGCTCGTGTAACTTCGCCCTGATACGACGAAATCTTTTCACGAATATTTATTCTCAGTGACTCCGCGAAATCAAAAGCACTGAAATGAATCGGCAATTCCAGACCGTTTCTAAGCGTGAACAGAGAGCATTGCATAGCTTCTTCTCTTTTTTTCTCCTCTTTCCTCTGACATTTCCAATTCTTGTTGAAATCCAAATGTGTATTTGATAGATTGTGAATTGGTTGCCGTGAAATTTTCTTAGTTGTTCACAGTTGCATGTTAAACCTTTATATCAGAGTATGAGCGGAACAAATTATTTAATAGTCATGAAATAAAGGAGTTCTCGGTATTGACCAATCTTGAGAGATGTGCCATGCATTCCACTTTATTACGCGTCAATAGAAGTTAATGAGCGTATACCTGGCCTATACAAGGACTCACGGTGGTCTACCGATGTATCGACAAGCGCTGCTGTCCTCCTAGACAGGTCTGGTGTCAGTTTTCCGACATCGGACGAGAGGAAGGCTTGGTGAGTCTAGGGCAGGGAATCAACTCTATGTGTATTGAGGAACATCTCTAACAACTCAACAAGCACCCTTTACTAGTCGTGCCGAGGTTATTTAAAAATCGGTAGTCGAATTTTTTGCACACCGACTATTTCCATTGGCCGACTATTAAAGCATATTTCATAGCTTGCAGTGCTCTAATCTTAATTGTTTAAACTACCTGTGGCATTTGCACGATGACGTACCCACGTTTGTTTACTACACTTTTTTTGGGAATCGATAATGAATTTTTCCAATGAATGGCAACTTTACACAAATGGAACGAAAGGAATCAGTTAGTCGTCCTATTTGTCCACATCGAGCTCATTAAGGTGGTTTCGTTTTGATTTCTGCTGTATAATTGTTAGGAGATGAATAGAAAACAAAACAGTGATGCGTTCGAACGTGAAGGCAACTCATTCGGTAAACACCGATTCTCGATGTAAGATTAATGATGATGAATCTAGCAGAACTCACTTTGAGACTCTGATTTCATTATTCATAGCAGAACAAAATGAAAAAAAAAGAAAAAAAGCAACTGTCGAATAAAAGAAACCTGTAAAATAAACATCGTTCCCTTCCTCAATTCTTCAACGGCCAATGATGTTTCGAAACCGTAATAGACAGCGAAATTAGGTTTCTTCTCGATTAATGCGGTCAATATGTTCTCACCAACTTCGACATTGCGAGCTCTGAATACCCATTATTCATTTAAAACTGGATTCCTAGCAAAAATTTAGAAATGCTTACTATAACAACTAAACTGGCTAAGTCTGCTTTGAATCAAATTTTTGTGGACAACAAAACGTTCTTTTGGTGGGGCATCACAATAGCAACAATAGTAATGAAGCGAAAAAGGATATCTAAGGAATTAGTGTTCGTCAGTCACCATAGCTAAATTTGTCACTCTCATCTGGATTGTTCACAGAAGTATTATGACAATCTTCCGTTCAGAAGAGAATAACACACTTGTACTGATGGAAATTGGCTGAAAATGACGTCTTTAAATCTATGAATTAAGAATGAACTGAGAACTACGAGGAATTTCAAGTCGGTCGTTTGACAATGATTGAGTATAGTTTGATGATTTGTCGGTTGTGGATACCATAACACGCATGTAGACATCTTGGTCCTTATTCGTCATTTATATAAGAGAGAGATTTAAAAGAACGGAAGTAAGCAGAGTTAATCCACAACCGCTCTTAGAGCTAAGACGAAGTCATTTAATCCAGTGTCCTCAGTGTTCGTAATATTTAATATTAGTAAATCTAATTATTCAACGTATTTTTGTTTGTAAACGAAAAAGACCGTTGAACTTCAAGAAGATACTCCGTTTGCTCTTCTCCGTCTCCTTGAGGCTTTCCATATCATCTTGCTCACATTCTCCAAATTTCACTACCCAGCACAGCTCTTATCATTCAATTCACAGTTGAACGCAAACTGAAGGCCGGACGCTTTCCACTTGCAGGATGCCAATGAAGTTTCAGTTGAGTTCGGGTAGATCGGCAGTAGTGGTGCCAATACACATCCCGGGCCAACTAAGGCTCCTATCCTCCGGAAGTCAGCAAATTGTCCACTAACTGACTAACCGCAGCCATGATGAGAATCAAATCTATTAAGAAGTAACATTCATTGAAGACAGATGAGACTGACGAACACTGTAGTTGAACAAAAGTGACATGAATGCGCTTTTTCCAAGTAAATACTTTGTTTATAATACGACACCTGTATCCCTTAATCTGCTGCCTAGAATACAACAAATTCATAGTCCCATGAAAAGTAAGTTCTCTTTTTTTAATAAAAAATAAAGTAAAGTACCGACTCTTTGGATTCTTTCACGTGTAATCAGTTGTCTCGGTAGATAGAATACGAACGTTTATCCGTCAGTGTCATAACTTTCAGAAGTAGCAAATGACAAAAGAAACCAGTGACACGTTCCCAACCACAACTTCACATTTATTCAATCAGAGAACTTAGAAGCAATGTCGCGACAGTGGTAATCATTGCCACCAAGACGCGTTCTTGATTTAATGTAAGGAAAATCTAAAGATAACGCTGACGATAATTAGAAGTGGATCGGTTTACGTGGTTCTGCTGTCTTTGTGAAAAAAAATAGCCTGGTGTGGAACATCATCGCTAATAATGTTGCCCTCGGTGGCCGTTTCTTAATTTTTACAATTCGCCTAATAAAAATGATCAACTCAAGAAAGTTTATGAGATGGTTTTAAAGATGTGGACGAAATCACAGACTACGACCTTTACTCCTCGAAGCAGCTATCTCCTATATGACCTGAAAACCTATTAATCACTGAGTAACTCGAATGAGTAACAGCAACCACAGCTGTCCAGAGTTGCCCATGTGAGTTCCGCTTTCTCGAGAGATAGAAACAACAACGCGGTTCTTCCATAATTTCCTTCCAAGATACTTTGTTTCGTGAGAAAACACAAAAAATGAGCTAGTTATTTTGGTTCTATCGATGGAAGTTTGTTATACTCACTAAGAGCTTGTTGTGCGACTCCTCCGCTCTAGATGTCTAGCTCATATACTGGAGGCAACACCGAACCGCCGCACACTTAGTTTTTCCCAGGCACTCAGTTGCCTGCTCAGACTAAATGAACATGAAGGATACCATCTACTTAAATTCAGCGAATATGAATAACATAATCAGCAACCCCTCTCGTCGGATAATTCATCTACGACGCAGTATTGAGCATCATAGGCGAATGCCTAGTGTACCTACAAAGTTACATACAGAGGTTTGCGGATGTATTAAATCAGTATTTTTACTCTCTCAGACAAGTGTGGTGCCAATTTCCGAATGAGGAGAAATGTGAAACTTCACTTCGTAAGGGAGCATGATCGAATTGGCGACCACATGTAAAGCAGGGCCCCTGTATTCACTACAAGTCAACTTTCAGTTGTCGTTCAATTCGTAGCCACTAACTTGCTCGCAACCATTTAGCCTTGCCAATGACTTGTTCAAAATCCCTAAAATCAGGAAAATCGTCTATTCCGTACAGTATGTTTTAGCACAAGAGGTTCAAGGTGGGTGAAGGAACTGAGCTATGCTGTTTCACAGTTATTTGGAAAGTGCGTACGTAACAAAAGTTTTATACTAAAGATTATTAACAATACTAGCAAAAGTACGAATTGCTAAGACAAGTTTGTATAAGGATAAGTGAAAATATATTTTCAGCGCTCGTTACTTTTTTTCTCGCTTCACTTTCACATTGTAGGTTAAAAAAATTCTCTGAAAGAAGTTTCTTGTTAGATTTCCTTGACAGGTGATTGCTGATAGCACCTATAAGTCAATAACACGGCCGACAAAAATGCGAAACGGTGGACTCGCTCGGTGTGGTGGTGAACTCGCTAGTCCCCGGAAAGGGTAGTAATATGTTCGGTCCCTACCGCAGCCACCGGCGGTTCGGAGTTTCGCAAATATCACAGCATCACTATGATTACATTTCTTGTTAGATTTGACCAAAATGGACAAAAAATTTGTTTCCATCGTTCTTACTCGAATTTTGCACATAGTGCACTTGCTCGCTTATTTTACTGAGTAATCAGTGGGATTACTGGTGATATTGTTAATGTTACTTGAATCACTTTCCTTTAATCAGTCTTATTGGCACATGAGAGAGTGCACTAAATAATTGTACCTATTTTCCGTGTGGAAAATTTTGAATAGAAGTGTTATTTTTGTTGGGCTTCCAGTCCTGAATGCTGTTCATTGTTCGGCACTAATTAATTCAAACCAGTTTGAGTCTCATGGAAACAAAATACAGTCCATTTCAATTACAATGAAAAACAATTGGTTTGTTTTTATCTAGAAAATTCGCAAAAATAACAATCACAATAGGTAATGCTGTTATACCTCATCCAGACGTCCTTTATAGCAGTAATCTCCTGCACGGAGAATTCTGACGGACGTTCACTATCACTGTAGCAAAATAATAGCTTATTAATAATGTGTGAGACCATATCTGAAAAATAGACTCTGTACTTAAAGATCGCTTGAAAAAAGTGCGGATCAAAAACAGAATTAGTGACAGTAACGAAGAAATTTAGAGTGGCGACCCGAATAAGATTGAATATTCGGCGAATTGGCGAAGTGACGACGAGTTGGATCACTGGCACAAGAAGAAATGAAAACCTCAACGAATATTGCGAAGAAATCACAAAAATCATCAATAGAAAGTCGATCCTAGGAACTTTCACAAAAATCACTATCCCATGCTGATTTCATGAATTTTTTAACAATTCTACAAAGAGCGAAACGTTATGAGATGAGCATTGCCGTGGCCAGTGGGCGAAGTAACGCCCACCCGCTTTCTTCAACTTCACCTATTCCGCCTCTTTCAAACCTTCGGCACCAATGATCGCTTTCGAGATAAAAAGAAGGAACTCTTTTCTTAGATTTATTAGTTTTCCTTTGCCATCCTTGTTGACCTGATGGTTGGTATAAGTTGTTGATGTTGTTGTTATTGTTGTTGCTGCTGTCGTTGTTGGTATTGTTGCTTCGATTTCGTCTAAACGTCAGTAGCAATACTGTTATGAGGGATTGTTTTCTTAGAGTAATTCAGGTTAAAATTTATCTCTTTATCTAACATTGATTTATTAAAGGATAAAGGATAAAGGATAAAGCTCTCGGCGTTGATCAATCCCTGAGGGATGCGCCATGTATTCGACTTCATAAAGCATCGCTGGAGGTGACTGAATGCATATCTGGCCTTTTCAATGACTCGCGGTGGCCTACCGATGTATCGAGCCAGTGCTGCTATCCTCTCAGACAGGTCTGGTACCAATTTGCCGAACCCGGAAGGATGGAAGGCTTGGTGGGCGATGGGCGCGGGGATCGATTCCACGTTTGTGTTGCAGTGGCACTTCCAACCACTGCGCCACACGCGCCTCTGTTAATTAATTAGACCGTGAGATATGAAACAAATCAATAGTTACTCTTTGTATGTGCTGGATCATGGATTTGTACACGTTTATTGAACAGAATTATTGGTGAATGCGAGTCACAATTCAAACTCACATTCATTTTGGTAAAGTCTGCAGTCGAGTAGAGCTAGTTGGAAAAGACTGCTAATAGACACCATAATCAAAATCGAATAAAACTACATCTCATAAAGTAAGGTACACGTCTTTTCTAGATGACTCACTAAATAACTTTCGTGAGAAACACCAACTTTCATCTTCATGAGAAAAAATGTAGTTCTCAAAAAGTACTCTCACAGCTCTAGTTACGAGAAAATCCAATAGAAATCACTATGTATAAAAACTGTATAAGGTATAAATTTAATGATGCTGAGATATTTGCAGAACTCCAGACAGCAGGTGTCTGCGGTGGGGAACGAACGCGCTGTTGTCCTTTCCGGGGAGTAACGCGTTCACCACCACACCATACTGGTCCTTCGTTTCGCTTGTCTCAGCTAGCTCTACCGATCTTTTGCCGTCAGCAATCACCCGTCAGCGGGAATTAACTGGGTTCGTTGCCGATTTGGGCTCCCCAGTTAATTCCTGCTGACGGGCGATTGCTGACGGCAAAAGATCGGTAGAGCTAGCTGAGAGATAGGCGAAACGAAGGACCAGTATGGTGTGGTGGTGAACGCGTTACTCCCCGGAAAGGACAACAGCGCGTTCGTTCCACACTGCAGACACCTGCGGTCCAGAGTTTTGCAAATATCTCAGCATCGTTAAAGTTATATTTTGCAATATACACTGCCATTAAAAAGAGTAGGCAGTAAATAATAAGTTAAAATTGTGTATAAGTCATAGTTTGTTGTCAAAGGTTTCTTGTAGTTTTACGTTCGACTTTAATGAAAGTTTTATACATCTTATAAATATTTTTTTTACATGCTGAACTATCTTACCATTCTGGTCACTTCTATGGTAAATTGTGAGGATCCGAGCACATTTTCCATTTGATTCCGTTCCCTAGCACTTTCCACCCACCTAAAAGTCTTCGAACTTACGTGCCGGTTCGACCGTCACTTAAGGATTTTGCTTCTCATAAAAATCTTTTCCTGAAGTTTGGTTTACCTTGGAATCGCGAGACAGCTTTAAGAGCGTTCCAAGGTGGTTGCTACGGCAAGTTAATAGAATTCGTTGATCAAATGCAGCTTCTACCGAACGAGTTTGGTAGCAATAATTTTATATATGATGGAGATAATACAAGGTTGGTATAAAAAAAAACTTGGTAACAGTTTGCTGACATCGGTCTAATGATGTGCTTGATTAGCCCCGGTTCGCTGGGAAATGCATGCATTGCACGGTATTTCTACCCAATACGGTTCCTGCGTGGACTTGTGTTGCTCGATTGTTGCGCATTTCTACTGTCGTCTGGTATAACGGTTCGTAAGCTCACCACCTTGACGGATCATTCTAACTGAGAGGAAGCTCTTTATTTTTTCTCGAACCTCGAGCTAGAAGTAAATAAATTGCTGAATTCAGCCGTTTTGGAGGACTCCGAAATTTAAAATGGAAATTCTCTTTTCGATTCACTGGGGCCACATCTATGTCAGCAATGCGTCGTTTTCCTTCTCAACAATCGCGAGGTTGTTATACAACATACCTTTACTTCCATACAAAACACACATGCAACACAACAGTAGCTGACGTTTCGGCAGTATCGCCTTCTTCGGAGCCTGGAAGGGTACACTAATACGCAATTTACTAGGTCAAACGCTTCAACAACGCGAAGAGAAAGATGAAAATCTACATGAAAATCACATGACTAACAGCTTATCGAAAAAGGCACCGTTTTTACCTACACTGCACTGAGGAAAACCGCCGATTTGAGTAGCATATGGTCGATGATTGTACCATCCCACAGCAAAAATCGACGAGAAGGTACGGGGCGAGATCACGTGTGTACTCTGAGTATTTCTCTTTCCTATTCACTGTAGAGTTTTTGGCATTCGTGATCATGTGATTACCGTGTAGATTTTCATCTTTCTGTATGTGTCACGTTTGGCGTGGTAAATTACCCATCAATATACCCTTTCAGGCTCTGAAGAAGGCGCTACTGTCGAGATGTCAGCAACTGTTTGTTGAACGTAACGTATGCTGTACGACAACCTTGCAATTGCTGAGGAAGAGAACGACATATATTATAATCCAATGCCGAGGTTGATAGAAAGTCGATCTTGGGAACTATATCAGCAATGTTAACGTTTTTATTTATTACCTATCTCAATTTTTCACGGCAGAGTATTACGTATGATACAACCACAATGGTGCTGAAATATTTGCAAAACTCCAGACAGCAGGTGTCTGCGGTGGGGAAGGAACGCGCTATTACCCCTTCCGGAGGCTAACGTGTTCACCACCACACCATACGTATCTTTCGTTTAACCTTTCTCTAAGCTAAGTTTATCTCTACCAGTGCCATCAGCAATCCTCTGTCAGCGGGATTGATCTGCAGAGTACAATTCTGCGATGAAAACAGTTAAGCTGAGGCCGGGGTCGAAGCCACAACTTCAAGAGACGTATGGTGTGTTGGTGAATACGTTAGCCTCCGGAAAGGGTAATAGCGCATTCATTCCTCTCTGCAGACCCCTGCTGTCTGGAGTTTTGCAAATATCTCAGCGCCATTGTGGTTATGTCAGGAATGTTGTGGAAGAAATCTCATTCAATCTCCAAGGGTCGCCCGCCACTGCCATTGATGACAAATTAAAAATGACATGACGAGTTCTCTTCCGAACTTGTAAGGAAAAGTCTTGAATAGCTGGAAAAATACCAGTAAGATAGATGTTTTAGTGCAGACCTTCCGAATCTTCGCAAGTGTATGCTGGTAATTCCTTATCGGACCACTGAGGGCTTCTATAAATTTTTAATTTTTGCATGAAAGATCAGCAAATTATTGCTGCAGTCTGGGCATAGTTTGAAAGGGTTGTTACAGGTGAAACGGGAAATCTGATTACCTTCACAAGTTTGCTCAAGTATGCTTGAAGTGATAAGAAAATTTCAATAGAAAAGAGAGCGAGGAAAAGAAAGAGAGTGTTTGAGTACAAAATTTAAGGCGAAGAAGTGAAGAATACCTACGACAATCATAAGCCGTAGCTACATCAGGCTCCGAAAAAGGTGACGGCCCCGAAACGTTAGGTGAATAAAGCTTTTTTGTGAACCTCGTTCAACCTTGTAAATAAGAGAATACATGTTGATTGGTCAAACTTAGATTAAAGGAAAAGCAGTTTATTTCGCTTAGTAACCTGCCATGAAAATTATAGAAGGCAGAAAACAAAACCTTAAACATTGTGATTTCAACTACAGCCATAGTTTAACTGGGTTCTATGCCGATTTGCGCTCCCCAGATCAACCCCGCTGGCGGGTGATTGCTGTGGCAAAAAGATCGATAGAAATAGCTGAGAGACGTGCGAAACAAAGGACCCGCATGGTGTGGTGGTGAACGCGTTACTCCCCGGAAAGGATAATAGCGCGTTCGTTCCCCACCATAGACACCTGCGGTCCAGAGTTTTGCAAATATCTCAGCAACGTTGTGAAAAGCAGTTTTTCAAAGATTGTCGCGCTCTGTGCTAGCTGATAAAGGTACCGATCGCAGCAGGGTGAATTACCAACAGAAAAACGAACGATTTTCAACGTACAATCAGTATCAACGACAACCATCCCGTAGAAAAGAGCATTGGCTTTCCATTCGAGCGCCGCCCTATTAGATTCGACTGGACGCGATCACGAGTGCCTACATCGGAATAAGGATGAACTGTAGACAATCTGTTCGGATATCGTCTGAGGGAGACGAAGGCGTTAAAATATCGGCCGAATAAAATTTAATTTTATCAAGCTCGTTTTAACTTGTTAATAATGGAGCACAAGCCTTAAGCTTCGTGGAACAGATCTTTTTCGGGAAAGTTTGAAGCAATTTAACTTTAAGCTTATTAAGGAAGTACATTACTCTCTCAAATGAAAAGCGATGATCGAATTAGTCTTCTTACCTTTCCCAGTCGAGATGACTATTA